TTCACAGCCAGTGTCTGTCTGTGACCACAATCTCGCCTACAGGAAGCCATGACCACGTGTCAGAGCAGGGAAGATGGCCGCGGGTCATGTTCGTCACCCAATGTGGAGTTCGCGAACGGAAGCAAAATTTTGTGAACGCTGCTGTTCGTGAACCGAATTGTTTGTGAACAGAAGCGTTCGTGAACCGAGATATTACTGTACTTCAGGTACTCTTCTGGTTGGGGGGAAAAGTTGAATAATAATAATAAGAAGAAGAACAAAGTTCATTATTATGGTTGGTCATACAGTCAGCCAGATGTTTACTGGATTCTTATCTACCCATCGAGTCCTTCCCAAGGACCTGGGACAGGCAGATGTTGCTTGATGGTGTTAAAGGTATTATCGCAGGATGTAGACTGTTCCAAGTAAAGCTGTCTTTTGCAATTGACTGATGGTGATTTTGTCAATGCCGATGATGTTCAGGTGGTGCTCCAGACATTTTGAGATTGCACCTAAGCCACCTATAGCTATTGGTACTATCTTTGCGTTCTTTTGCCCTAGTCGTTCTACTTCTATTTGCAGGTCTTTATATTTTGTGATATTATTTTAGAGAGAGAGGTTAATCTATAATTGTACTTATAACTGCTGTAAAGAAGATTGGAAGCCGCTTTTTTATATCTTTCTTTATATCTTTTCCTTTTTTTCCTTAATTCTCTTTCTTTTTGCACATAACTTTTTCTTTCATTCTCTCTTTCTCTTTTTTCTTTTCTTTTTCTTTTCTTTTGTTCTATTTAGTTTGTATTATTATTGCTGTTAAAATGTTCAACAAAATTACACACACACACACACACACACAGAAAGAGAGAGAGGAAGGAAGGAAGGAAGGAAGGAAGGAAGGAAGGAAGGAAGGAAGGAAGGAAGGAAGGAAGGAAGGAAGGAAATTCCAGACTATATTCTGGTTATAGTATTTTTCACTATTTGAAGCTTTAGAATACTTTTCAAGGGCAAATCCATGTTGAACACCTTAAGGCAGTTTAAATAGAAGGTAAATAATTGATCATTATGACTAGATTTATCAAGCTGTGTAATTCTTTATATAATTATTTGGAAATAATGGAATCTAATCCTAAGTATTCATAAAATTGTAGGGTATTACCTCAGTTTATGATATAACCTTAATTTACTAATTAATTCAGTTAGTATATTAATATACTAAATGTTTTGGTCCTGAGAGAAAAGACAAGCCAGATTCTGGTTCTGTTTCAGTTTGATTTCCATACTTGGAGGATCATCTGCTTTAAAGGTTTCCTGATATAAATCAACACAGAATGATTGCCTCTTGTTATACAGGATAGAATCATAACACAAGTGTCATGGCAACATATAAACATTCCATCCTCTGTTAGACTTCGATGATAATTTCTGGCACCGTAGCAAAAAAGTAAAAACCAATTTTGTGTATTTAGGAACATTAAGATTTTTAATAGTGAACCCAGCTTTCTTTGAAAGCACAAATTATTTATCTTGTATGGCACCTAAATCTTTAGTGAAATCTGATCCATGACATTTATTTATGGTAAGACTTTTTGTCTATTTTGTTTTCTTGTTTATCTTATGTAGAAAGCACACAAAGTAGTAGTGTCCATGGAGGAAGGGGTCAAAACAGTCAAATTAGTGGTCATAGCAACACAATTAGAAAGCCACCTCTTTGAATATGCATACAATAGCTGCTGACACAAACTATTCTAAGTAGTGACAATCTGGAAAATCAACATTATCTCTTGGAGTATTGGCTACTGTCCTTAAGTATTTGCAGTGTGAAGCCATGAAAAAAGTTGGTTTCTCAGTGGGGACAAAAAAAAAGAAAAAAGAAGGTAAGATAAATTGTTTGGCTTTTTGTACTTTGCAGAAAATATAAGAAATGCCCTTATACATTAGGTGCAGCACCACTTCCCACAGTAATTTTTCCTATATTTTTAATTTAATTTAATTTTTAATTTATTCTATATATCAGATTTTTAAAAATGCTGTATTTACCCAATAGAGAGGAATAATTTTATTTACACACGCACATGCACACACACACAAATCTTGCAAACTGGGTGGATGGCTGATAAGTCTAGAAGATGCTGTTGAGAACAGCTGAATAAGGAGAAGTGTATACAACTGAGGACAACCTGTCTCTTCTGAAAAGCATGGATGCCTCTGCCTGAAGATTAGTCCTTCCTTAGGATGGACTTCTTGTGGATTTTAACTCTTTTTGTAATGCTTAAAGCACAGCTTCTCCCTTCCTTTCCTTTCCTTTCCTTTCCTTTCCTTTCCTTTCCTTTCCTTTCCTTTCCTTTCCTTTCCTTTCC